TAATATTCGCCATGCGTATAGATTCAAATTTCTTTCTTGTTTTTGTTTTCAATATGTTGAAAGCTAGAGTTGAAGAAATTGTGTGATGGACGATTAGTTTTTTATAGGTTAGGCGTTAGTGCTGTGACCGATCCAAGCTTCCCTGACGTCCAACTATTTTATGGAAAATATTTTTAAAAAGTATACAAGATGGTGAATTTAGATTGATCAGCATTAGACGGCATTAGAAATGAGATGTTTCGTCGAGTTTGATGTTTCACCTAGCAACTTCGCCTACGGCCGAGCGGGCGGGCGCCGTTGGCCGGTAGCCGAAATAGAAAAATATTGTAGCAATTTATTGCCGCCTCGAAATTCGTGGGCGGCCGCTGCTGGCTGTTTTTATGCTGCTATCGTATTATGCTAACAGAATAACGTTGTATGAGTACAGTTAGTGTCGATTCGACGAGGAGACGGTATGCATCAAAATGCATCTTATGGTACTTACCGCAGTAAAGTGCATTGAATTGACATCGAGAACATTTTCAACGGTATTAGTTTCTACTATGAAAATTATTGTATTAGAGCCATGCTGTGGTCAACTTGACTGCAGCACATAGATGGGATGGCTCGAGCGATGCAACACCACTCTCTCACAGAGTGCAGACGTGAAGTAACAGTTTCCGCTGTTGCGTTTCGTGTAGTGAGTGACAGTCCACTCCGCTCCATGACCTCACAACCTCCCTTAATTAGTTCGCTCCCCTCTCCATCAGCCCAGTACTTTCTCTATCAGATAATATTCGTATCTAAAAGGCCGGCATTGCATTGATGACTCCCCTGGAGTCGTGAACGTCCATGGGCTACGGTGACCATCCATACTGTGGTGATTCGCATGTTTGTTTGCCTCTCGACAATGTTATAAAATAAAGATTTAATTCAAACGTTTCGTCTCGACAACCATTTTATTTTTGTTTCCAACCACAATACCGACTACAATTTTTCATTCATCAACAAATAATGATTTACACGTATTTCCCATATTTCGCGGCAATCTGGTTCACTTACCTAATCGTTAAATTACTCACCGTAACGGCAATTTAGTCGTTTATGGCATACTCTTGCCGTTTGATGTCGTTTTTACTTAGCTCCAACCGTACACGCTAACACGAAAAAAATAAACGAAATAGAGAAAATAATATACAGCTTATTTTAAAACGAATCAAAAAATATTAAAAAGAAATCCTCAAGCCTTATGAAGAATGAAACTGCGTACGGATTTTTAACTTATTCCAAATTACCTTAAACATTTGTAATTGTGAATTTTTAGTAGCCATTAAAATATTTGTAATATTTGAAACTAAAAATCGTAAGGCGCATTCAACAGTTATAAAACAAGCGTAGAGAGTAGCTATCAATTGAAAATTTAATTATCTTTTCACATAATGTGTAACGAAATAAAGCAAATAATGCACTCCACGTTTATAATTCCAAATCTTACAACTATTTTTAAAGTATTCTGTAAGAAGTTAAAAGTCTGCACGGAGTTCCATTTTTCATAAGGCTCAGAGAAATTATTTTATTGTTTTTAGTTCGTTTTGAAAATTTCATAAATTCATTTTTTTTATTTCATTTATGATTTTCTTCTTTTTAGTATTTTGAGGGTGATATGTTACAATTGATTTTAAATAGCTCCGTGAGATAAAGACAAGAACGTACGACGTATTTCAGATTTATTTCAATTCCTTTTTATGTGATCATATTTGAAATATAAAAAATGAATACATGGTAAAATGCTATATCTGCTTACAAAGAACCTATCAAACTATTTAATTATTTATTGAAAAATGGCAACTGCTGCTATGGTAACCGTTGCCATGGTGACCGTTGCGATGATAAATGTAAAATATGAAAAAAAAATATTAACGCTGTTTTTCCCCCATTCTTTTCAAATTTCCTTGTATTGTCATCCTATTTTGATTTGTGCTCAAAATTTTAAGCCTCAAGCTCATCGGGTAGTTAGGTTATAATTTATTTCGAAATTCCGTCCGGACAGGCATATAACAATGGCGAGTTAATAAAAAAGTGGTAATAAATTCAAAGCCGACTCAAATTCAAGACGACATTGTATTGCATTGAATTAGCATAATTGACTGCTGTACGCTGCAGTGTTTTATGATGCAACGGACAAATAAATGAGAATAGATGGTCTGCCGCCGGGTCGGCTCCGCTCTAACAAGTCGTTTCGTTTTGAAATCATACATACTAATATATCATACTTGCAAACGCGTACAGGCATGATTCACGAGTGGTCAAAAGCGTTGGTTTTAAATCAGAAGGCACCAGGTTCGAATTATGACAGCGGACTCACTAGCCCTTAACTCAATAATTCACTCAAATTTAAAACACTCGCTTGGCTTATCGCATAGCAATCGTGTCGGTATGGGACGCCGCGTCACCTAATCGGTGACGGTAATCGTTGACGCACCGTGACTCGTACCGAGCCGGCACGGAAGGCCAGAACTACCCATCTAAACGAATCGAGAGACCGTTTTCCCTAGAGCAGGGCGATAACTCAACACGATACAAGAAAAATAGAGGACTTAAAATTTCGCCCTTCTGCGTTTGCTGGTACAAAGTGTTCCAAACGTAATCACTCTGAACTTTGATCTTTTATTTTTGACATGGTTTGTGTCATTACATTGAAATGAAAACACTCTCGAAACATTAGACAATATTTACTACACAGCTGAACGCATTGATTCTGACTGACGGCTTGACTGATTGACAGATGTCATTTTGTCGTTAATTCGTTCGGTTTGAATTTCTACTGTACCTTTTAATTTTGAAAAAGCTTCGAAAAACGTGAAAATGTAATTTTGTTATTTAAGAAGGTCGTTTTATTTATATGTTACAGTACAGCCTATACTATTTTATATATTCTTACGCACAGTTTAATCGCACTCGACCTTAGAGTTGTCACGATTTAAGAGAAAGTCTCAAGTCGTGAACGCGATAGGACTCTCCCTGCGCGTGAACTCGACCTCGGGCGAATGCGGTTTGCGATCGAATGTGCAAGTCACGATTCAATAACCTTCCCACCTACATATAATGTGTATAGTTCTGTACTAATAATAAAAGTGAAAGCTGTCAAAATCTGAATATTGAAAGTATTTTATAAATTTCGATTGGAGCAAATACTGTTATCGACACAGCAGCCAAATCATTGTTTCGCATCATATAAGTAGGGGATTGACATCATATGTAATTTTTATTATAAATAAAATTTTTAAATTCTGTCACAAATTTCAAAAGAAATATTGATCTTAATAAATAATGTAATAAGCGTATTAAAGGCCAGCTCACGAAGGTAGCCCATTATTCCATTAACGAATACACGAATGACGTAAATGCACGGTAATTTTAGAGAAGAAAAAGAAAAGAAAAAATGCTAAAGGAGTCTCTGTTCGGTTCTTCTATTCCTAATATTTTTCGAGCCGATGGAGAATACTTGTATTGATATTTTTTTATTGCATATTTGACGGGCAAACGAGCTCGCAAGCCACAAGAGAATAGGTGGCCTTCACCGCCCATGGACGCTAGCATCACGAAGTGGTTAACAATGCGTTGCCGGCCTCTCGAATAGAAATAAGTTGTCTGATACAGAGAGATCGAAGGAGGGGGAGTGGGACGATTTGAGAGGGAGTGGATTACCGGAACTCTCATTCGCTGGACAAAAAGCAACAGAAAAAAAGATGTTATTTGATTCGTATTCTGTGAGAGCGTGGTGTCTCACCGGTCGAGCCCGCCCATTTTCGTGCTTCAGCCAAGTTGACCAAAACATGGCTCTACCACTCTAACTTGATGTTGAATATGATCATTTGAACGTCCAACAAGTCAACTCATGTGACGCTGTACTTTAGTTCTAAAGGCGGCGCCGGCCCTGGCGTCAGGGCGGTATGAGATTGATTTTCAGTGCCCTCGAGTCAGTGCTCTAATTTTCCAGGAATTCTAATTACACTTAATTATAAGTAACTAATAATTACTAATTTTTCAAAATTATTTTTTTTACAAACATCAACACATATTAAGCTTGAATTAAATTAAGTAACTTTAAGTATCGCAACACTGTTCTGTGTCTTTCCGAAAGCAACATCAAAATTTAATATTTTGCTGAAAATTGTCTTCTGAATTTGGTTTATCAGCGTCCCTAGTTACACGGCGCCTACAGCGACCGCTCCACCCGCTCTGCCCCTAGGCCGGTGCTGTCTAAAGATCGTGGGTTTGATCTCGAGCATGTACCAGTGAGTTTTCTAAACTTATTTGCATTTCATTACACAACGACACCGCACGCCTACCGTGAAAGAATACGTCCCAAGGAAACAGACGCTCGGTGGGTTGATAAAACCTTACGTCTGTCAGCCTGTCAAGTTTGATTGAAACTGTGTAATGTGAATGTATACCACGTGGGCTATCCCTGACGACTTCATATTCGGTATAACACCGTGAACTTATTATGTGTATAATTATTAGTACCGACTAACTCTATTTCTTATTTTGCGTATTAACGTATGTCTATACGTGCGGTCGTCTAGACGCCATAAAAATATTAACACTCTGGGCACTCGCAGGTCGTTGTTCCTTAGAAACGAGCGCATAAATTGAACACTCGAAACATGTGTTAGAACTGTTCGGGCATTTATCTTTCGAGATATGATTGCGATAGTCGATACACGTAGGGAATTCTAAGTGACGCGCCCGAGTAACGAGCCGAAATTAGATCCGGCATCGAGATGCGTTCAGAGCTCGTCGATTCTGGTATTTCAAGTGCCTATTTTAGATATCTCCGTTCTGACTCCTTAATCGATCTCTCTCAGCTTGCTGAAAATTTGAGAACTCCAGAACTGTAACTATTTTGGGATCTGACATAGTATAATTTGTACTTGTCTCAGATGAGGCGTGGATGCCTATTACTTAGTAATACTAAAGGTTACGTTATACTGCTGTTGACTATTGTTGACTTGACTGCCTGATTGGTATAGTAGTAGTAATTCTACCTATTGCGCAGGGGTCGTGGGTTCGATTCCCGCACAAGACAAACATTTATTTATTTGATTAAAAATTAATGTTTGTCTTGAGTCTGGGTGTATGTATATATTATATGTATATAAGTACATATTTACAAAAAAAAGTATGTATGTAGTACATCAACTGTCTGGTACCCCATAGTACAAACCTCGTTGCTTAGTTTGGGACCAGACGGTGCTGTGCATATATGTCTGAAGATATTATTATATTATTATTGTGTGTAATCGCTCATCATATTTTAATTTGGATTCCCCAATCCAATTTGTCCAGGACTATAGCATAAAGCTTCTAGACCCCCGTCTAGAAGCTTCATGCTATAGTCCTGGACAAATCTGGGACTATCAATTGACGCTTTAAAAATATCTCTAACGGAGTCTTTTTTCCGACGTACGGAACGAGTAGCTTTAATTTCAACTAACCCAAAAACTCATTTGCCCTTGGTCAGCTTTCAAAACCGCTGCCTTCCGACTAACAGCCGATATGCTGACCCCTGGGCCGCCAGCGTCCTCTATTCCCGATGCAAGGCCTCGAATTCTTCACTTTTTCACTTTCACAAAAATTCAATCTGCGTACTTGATGAGGAATCACACAATAAGATAAGTTTTAGCATTTAAATTAGATTTTGTTTGAATTGTAATTATATCTGATTTATACAAGTATATTTGGTTTTAAAAGGTTTATAATGTCTATTTTGCAATATTACTGGGTCACCAAATCAATTTATATTTTAAAAGTTGTCCTTACACGCAACAACCAAACTTTTCTTCTAGTTTCGAGCTCAATGAATCATTTGGGTGATATTCAGATCTCGAGCTGAAAATTAGATTAAATAGAATTAAATAACGTACCCTATATAAAGCATTGTGAATAGTGAAATGTTCAAAATATATTTTTTTGAATATGTCAAGAAACGTTGATAAAACTTTTAAGTGAATCAACCAATTTTATTGGAGCTTTCAGATATAACACAGTTTTTTGAGCGCAAAAATGATTAAATTGAGTCCGCCAAAATATCCAAATAATTTTGAAAAAAAAAAGACTTTCTGAAAAAAATTTCATAATTATATATTTTGATCCAATGAATGCGGACGTTTTAATTCAAAAAGGTAGACTGCCTGATTCGATACCGTTTTGCTTATTACAAAACGGTATCGAATCGTTTATGAACGATTGTTTTAAACTGTGTTTATCGAACACAGATTATGCAATAACGTGACCCATTCACAATGCTAAGGCCTAACATCCTATTTTGTATTTTCCTTGTTTGAGTAAGTCTTATCTCAGTGTATAGTAAGCACCATGAGATGTCGCCATTCACGATTGTATCTCGCGGGGCACGGCCTCGGTTGTTCACCGAATGAGCTCACAGAAATAGTATGCACGTCTGTTGCTAGAATTTAAATGCTGACATCAATATTCGGATCTTTAGACGTGCAAAATGCCATTGAATTTGTAATAGGTGTATTGTCAGCTCGTGACGTGTCTCTTTTGTGTGATCTAAACCATAGATATCGTATCAGAATGTAGACGTCGCTTAAGCGATTCGATTCATTCTCTTGACATTTCGAACCAAATAAACGTAACTATGAACTGATAGATACAATACTACCTGCGGTTTTTAAGGTATAACAAAGCAGTTTGTCATCACCATATCGACAAGATGCGCGAATCAACAATTATCCTTTTTAATTTTGGGAAACACAAAAGTCAACCATTAAATTATAGAATTGACTTCCATACCGGATTAAAAGCAAAAAAGAGAGTCATCCAATCCCGATGACTTCAAACATTACTTGAACTATCTGGAGTATATTAATTGAAGGCAAGAATTTAGATTCCAATTCGTCTCATCCAATTCAATGATCGGGAGTCATCGCCCGCTCAAAGCTGCATTCCGACTATATTAACCTGGATTGTAAATATAAACTATTGCTCGGTGTTTTCGTATGATGAACGCTGGTCGGGTCGGTGTTATTTTTAAAGCTCCCCAAGGTAAATGCAATCCACGCGGCGGGGACGGCATTGCATTCAGCTCGGGTTATCTTTGCTGATGGTAAATAGAATAACTATGTTCTGTACAGTTCACCAGTGGAGAGTGTTTTTAATTTGGATTCCGCGCCAGTACGGAACGCCTAAGTCTATGGTTTTAATAACATGGCAAATCTTTCAATATTGTACGTAAACACTTTCGTTTGCGATTGTTTCAGTTGCCATAAACAAATTTGGGTCAGATCAAAGAGAAACATGGTAGAGAGTGTATTTTTTGGAATGGAGCTCTCTCCACGTCAGTTCCATGAGTTCCAATTCTGTGATTTGAGGAGTCATAGTGATGCGTGAGTTTTCTTCAATGACCCTTTCGATAGTGGCCACATTTTTTCCCACCTTCACGTATCTTAGCATGGCAAGACTACGATTAAATTCACCTCTAAGTCTCTATTCAAACTAATACCTCAAGATGGTCAGACGCGGTCGATGCATTCATCCCAAAAAAAAAATTAATTATGAGTGCACTGAATAGCAAAAGAAAGAGCACATCGTTTTTTTTTTTAATTCCTGCTGCTCTATCATGCTAAGCCGGCAAGGTTGTACAAATAAAGTCATTGTCAACTCGACGTTGTAACGATGTGCGCCAAAATGATAATTTTGTTACTACAGTGTTGTGTAACGAATTGATAGTAATATCGTGACAGTGTTTTCTTATTGCAAGGCTTAGTGTATTTTTATATATAGTAATTTATAATATATATTAAGTAGTATTTTTCACAATAAAAAGCGTTCAAAATGCAACTTATATCTATTTATTTACAGATTAATATTATAATTATATTCTATTATTTTCAAAAGCGTGTTTAAAGCAACATTAAAACGTATACGTTGTACAAATTATTGCTCAAATTCAAAAAGAAACCGATAGTTGAAAACACTTTTTACTACAACAAAATGAAAATAGATCGAGTCACAAACGTGTAACAATTATTATGATCTACGTGTGCACGAACTCCGCGGAGTGCTAGTAACACTCGCATCAAAATACTTAACGATCTCGTCCGATCGGCCGCGGTTTGTTTTCGAAGATGTTTACATTGTATTTAGGGTTGCGGAGGATATTTATCGCGGGTTCTCGATTTGTCGCGGTACGGCACCCACTATCCTGTGGAGCGAGGTTCACCGGGGAAGCAAACAGAGATCAGAGGTGGATGTCGCGGTATTTTACCATGGGACGCCGGTACTCCTCCGAGCGCGCTTCCGACCTCACAGGCCCTCAAGGAGGCTCCGAGTAATGTGTAGCCTAGGGCGGCATGACGTGACTTAGTCCGCTTCGCAGCGGTGGGCGGTTCATCGCTGTGGGCAGTATATAATGATAACAATATTTTTTTATTTCTTCCGCAATATTTCAAGAACATAAAATTGCGAAGAATATGTAACACTAGGAATTATTGCGGGAAACTGGAAACTGAGCTAAGTTAAACTGGCTCTATAGGTCTACGGGCCCCATCCCTGAGCATCTCGATAACATGTGACACAACAAAATTCTTACAATTTTATTAAAGTACCAAACTCAACAATTAAAACAGAGAGCGTAGAAAATGAAAACTAATGAAATAATACACAGGTTGTGCGCGAAAGTGAGAGTACATACATATATACGTGAAGGTATGTATATGGATGTAGCAGGCGGTGAAGATGCATTGTCATCATTATCAGCTAAGCTCTAGAAGCGAGCGTTGCTCTGTTACTAGCCCGAGGTGGCGTTGCGCGTGCTTCTGCGCGCCGTTTGGTTAGTAATAGATCTTTTTTAGAGTGATCCATGGACATTGACGAATGGAAAATATGGAAAAAAGGTAACCATGACTTCGACACACGAGCGACGAGAAACGAAACATGAAGGCTTTAGTCGGCGAGAGTCCGCAGCGGCTCGCTTAGCCATCCCTGAAATCTTTAGAGTTATCACTGTGTTCATTTAATGGGCTTTTATTAAGTAGTTCTATTTTAATTTATGCGCCATAAGTTTAAGTTTCGTCACTTTATTATGCCTTAGTTTTTAAGTTACCCGAGTGAATTAAATAATGAAATTGTTTTATTGTCCAATACCTATTCAACTTTTCGAAATGATTGTTACTGTTATTTTAACAAAATACATAATTTAATTATTATTTCACTAATTATTGGTAGCGAAAGTCCTCTTTTTGATACTGGTTGTACCAGTTGCCACTACCACTTTCCTTTCGATTGCGTTTTAGCAAGAAGCTGGGGGCCAATGACGAACACACTAACAAACGCTTTGGTGAAAATTACACCACGTAGTCTGGTATTTTTTGTTAATAAACATTTTTTACTTTTAAAAGGGACAAGTGCAAAATTACATTTTAAAAAAGTATAAAAATAACGAACAAGCAGACGTATATACTAAATCGTAATTTTAGATTGAGAGTACGCTACACAACATTGAATTTGAACTTAGATTGCGCCATATAAAATATGTGCATAATTCAAAATTAAAGTTTGTTCATAAAGAAGACGGCAAAAGATGTATGATGAAATTGACTTACAATTTACTTCTCAGGGCCTCTGGCTAAGCCTAGTACTTTACAGTCTAGTGCCATTACGATACATTTAAGGCTCATGTGTGAGAGCCTTCGAACCAAAAGGCATCGGTTACGAAACTGATCAATGGGCGAATTGCTCAATGACTTTTTTTTAACTTGAATTAAACTACTCGCTATACGATACGGGAAAATATATTTCTTTTTAAGTAAATGACATCGAAAACTTCTAGAACCTTCCATGCACCTCTGTCGGCCGATGAGATTTAACTGTTATTCGTAACACAAGCGACGACAAGTATTAACATTGTATAAATATTATATGATACAGCGTCGCCATCCCACTGTAGGAAATATTTTCCCATAATCTCATTTTGGATAGAAAGGGTTTTGCCTTGAGATGTCCACGCTGGTCACTTGCATTTCAGTAGTGTACATCTGACATTCTCTTTTTCTACTTTTACAC